TGACAACAATGATGGCCCACTATTCCCCCACTGATACTAATGATGGGGCACTATTCCTTTCATTGATACTAACGATGGGGCACTATTCCTTTCATTGATACTAACGATAGGGCACTATTTCTCCCATTGATACTAACAATGCGGCAATATTTCTCCCATTGATACTAACCATGGGGCAATATTTCTCCCATTGATACTAACCATGGGGCAATATTTCTCCCATTGATACTAACCATGGGGTAATATTTCTCCCATTGATACTAACCATGGGGCAATATTTCTCCCATTGATACTAACCATGGGGCAATATTTCTCCAATTGATACTAACCATGGGGCAATATTTCTCCCATTGATACTAACGATGGGGCACTATTCCTCCCATTGATACTAACAATGGGACACTATTGCTCCCCCTAATACCAAAGATGGGGCATTGTTTACTCCCACTGACGCCAGGACATTTTCTTTTTCCACTGACCAAAGTCTGACCCCCCTAAAGTTTGAAGGACGGTAAACTGGCCCTTTACTTAGAATGTTTGGAGACCCCTGATTTAGACAATGCTATGATATAAGGGTTTATGGTGGATTTATTATGATCCAAAAACTGTTATATTATGTTACGTTATACTTATACTAATAGTCTATGCTTCACAATCCCTTTATCTATCATCACACATACTTAAGTGGGTTATTTTTTTTGGTCAATTTAATTGGAGGGAAAGTTAATAAGCTGATGTTTTATCTTAATTGCATAAAATTGTTATTTTACAAATAAATATACAGGATATTTTTATGATACAGAGTTGAAGAACCTTCTGGGCTTCTTTTTAAGAAAGTCCAGCATTAGTTGACCATGCTGATGGAATATGCACACAGGCAGCATCTCTACTAGGCATAAATGGTGTACTTGTTTAACCTCTGAAATCAATGCAAATGCACCTTTAAAACTGAAAATTCCTTCAGTAACCTTCACTTAAGTGGTGGCAGCAGGATCTTCCCTATTATTTTTTTGATATTGCATTCATTACATTACAAAAAAATGTAGGAATGTGTAAAATAAAAAGACTTCTTTATCTACAATATAACTAGATTATAACAATAAACAGTGAAAGATATAGATCACATATGTCTTTCACTCTCTCTTGCAATAATCCATTTAAATCAAAGGACAGAATTGTACATTTTCCTGGAGATGAATTTTAACAATCAGCTAAATTACTACATTTCTGAATGGTTATTGCCATGCTATAATACAGCACAGTATCTTTCTTCTGTTAAGAAAATGAAACATGCTATAACGTTTCAGTTTAAAACCTAATTCCAGGCTCATCCATCCCTTGCATTTACTATATTTGTTCCTGGGTCTATGTTACCACACAGATAAGACGGTAAACACCTAAAAACACAACTGAAACACATATTTGTTTTACCTGCCAAAAACTGTTATTTTGTTCATTTGCTTCTTTAAAATCAGATAATCTTGCCAGACTATGTAGAGGGTCCTGACCATTTTTTCTTCTTTGACCACAGTCAAAGAATGCTTGGTCAAGACTGCAAATGGAAAATGTAGGAATAGCAGGTCATTTATGAAGTTATCTCCTGCAGTAGAGTCTGTTTGGCTTACATTGCTGCCCTACATTTCCCAGTCTGAATGCTGACATACAGGGGATTACATTAAAATAAAGCTAGTACAAAGACAGATTAAGGTAATATTTAAAAATCAGTTACACTTAAAGAAGCAGTTTTTGTACAATGGTTAGTTCCAACATTTGGACATTTATTCATAATTATGTATTCCCCAAAGGAATAAATAATAAAACCATGGCCAAAGTTCCAACCCTTTCCCGTTGTGTCCAAGGGAGAAATCGAATGTCTATTTTTTTCTTTAATTTAATTGCCAAGTATAACTGACCTTGACACTGGGGAACCTAGGCAAAATATAGAGACAAACATACAGGTTCCACAATGCATTCACACCATAATAATTTATAAATTAGACAGGATAATTACTTGCACGTAAACATAGAAGAAATAACATAGCTAGCTTTACATTCACATAATACTACAGCATACAAACAGTATGCTTCATCATAATTTATATCTACTATGTGCATCCAAAGAATGTATCCTCTCCCATACCTGCTGTTACACACACACACACACACGCACACACACACACACTCACTACCCTGTCATACTGTGACAAGATCATAAAATCGTAAAAATGTAGTTTGGTTGATTAAATTGAAAAAGAAAAGTTGCCTAGCTAGCACATTCAGCAGGCTTGCATATTTATCACATTATTTTTTGACAAATGTTGTTTGACTCTATTACCAGCTGTTAGACATCCCATAGTTTTAGAATGGAAACTGTTTAGCGTAAGAGTCATTTTCATTAATTGTTATGTCAGTTTAAATTTTTATCTGGCCTTATTGTTCAAGGTAATCTTTCCATATACAGGAAGCTCTGGATGTAATCAATGCATTTTTTTTTTACAAGAATACAACAGTTGGTTTTGCTAAATATTCTGGAAATTTCAAAAATTAAATCAATCAGGTCTCATACATATTTAAACATATAAATGAAAGAAGAAAATGAAATATCTCCATATAATAAACCACCAGCCATACACCTCATAAGAAGAACCAAAGTTAATACTGCCCAAATAATTTTCATAAGTAGCTCCAGAATTTAAATATTTCAATTTCCAAAGACTGACTTTCATCGTAGTGTGTGCCACTTAAAGTATGTGCACTCTGTTACAAGAGGTTTGAAGCTAAAAGCTATAAAAAGAGTTATTAAACAACGACTTCAATATGAGCTGAAAATTACTGTCAAAACTTAAAATTCACTAAGCTATACCAAATGTTGTTTGCCAAAACAATCTCCATTGTTTAACTAAGTCTGGATAATATATCTTAAATAGATTAAATGCAAATAAGTTGTTTGTCTTTTTGTATTCCACTGGGCATGATTGGGTGTTTAACCACTTCAATACCGAGCACTTTTACCCCCATCCTGCTCAGGCCAATTTTCAGGTTTCAGTGCTCTCACACTTTGAATGACAATTGCGACACGCAACACTGTGCCCAAACTAAAATTTTATCATTTCGTTCACACAACTAGAGCTTTCTTTTGGTGGTATTTAATCACCACTGGGGTTTTTATTTTTTGCTAAATTAACAAAAAAAAGAACGAAAATTTTGAAAAAAAAACACGTTTTTCTTTGTTTCTATTATAAAATTTTGCAGATAAATAATTGTTCTTCATAAATTTAGGCCAAGATGTATTCTGCTCCATTTCTTTGGTGAAAATAACCCAAATCAGTATTTATTATTTAGTCTGTAGGAAAGTTATAGGAGTTCCCAAACCATGGGATATATCTGAAATTTGATCAATCCTGGAGTACTGACAGCCAATCTAATTTCCTGAGGCCCAAAAATATCAGAACGATACAGATATCCCCCAAATGACCCCTTTTTGCAAAGTAGACAGTCCAATGTATTTCAAAAGAGGCATGGTGAATTTTTTGTTTCAGAAAATAAAGAAATAAAAAAAAATGATTTTCACAATTTTTTTTTTTTCATACTGTCACCAGTGCAGTACAGAATCATCATATAACTGGTGTGGCAGTGATAAGGGACACGGACTGGTGACAGTACTAAAAAAAAATTGATAATTTTTTTTCAATTTTTTTAATTTTGTTATTATTTTTTTCAATTTTTTTAAGATTTTTTTTTCATATTCCACTGTGACCAAAGTAGTATAATGTTACCATTGTACTCCTTTTGGGAAGTGATCAGTATTTTTTTTTTTTTCTTACATAATTTGATTGCTTATAGCAAAGAATTTCTTTGCTATAAGCAAGCATTTAACTGAATGAAATTGATTCATTCAGGTTTTTTTTTGTTGTGATTAGCTGTGATTGGCCATGGCTAATCCCATGACATAGATGGGGTGTGATTGGCCCTGCCTGTGCATGTGATCGCTGTGACCATTCACAGCTGGACACACTTGTATACAATGGATGGCATGAAAGGAAGCCATCCAATGTATACAACTGTCATGTGACCTGCTGTGATCGGTCACAGCAGGTCACATGGTGATGGCAACAGGGCCAGTACACAGATCTGTCAAAGCGCGGCCCTACGGGCATGCGCAAAGTGTGATCTGAGAAGGACATCATATGCCGCCCTCTCAGAGGGACGTCATTTGGCTATAGGCCAGGTGGCAACTGGTTAATGTTAACACACACACTTGAGGTGGCTATTTGTTAAACAAAAAAAAAAACTTCTTTTAGTGGATCAGCCGCACTCAATGGCATAGTGTCAAAAATCACAGATTCACTGTTATATCTGGGCCCACAGGTTCTATTATAACCTGGAGTAGTACTACACAACTCTCTGAGCTTGTTTCTCTGTTATTGACAGCAGTGTGCAGCTGTGTTCCTAAAGTCTGCTTCTGAATCTTGCATGTGTCCATCTGTTTGATTCTTGCTCAGCTCTAGGCATGCGCGAGTCGGTTTGTTTAGATTTCTTTTCAGATGCATCCAAGTGATCATAGAAATAGAAACTAATGACAATGAATCCAAAATAAGTTATAACAAAATGTTTTGAAAGCATTTGTTCATTCGTATAATTCGGATGACATCATTTTCAAATTCCTTCAGTAATGATCAGAATGCATTGTGAATAGCTGTGGTTGTTAAGGAGCAAGCGGCTGCTGCGTCCATAACAACCATGACTCATGTGATGTCAGCAGGATTCCCCACTCTCAGCAGAATTTAACAAAAGATGTGCCAGTTAAAAATTAAAAAAAAAAATAGTGTGCCCCCCCCCCCCAATGGCGTGGGGTCCTCCCCCAAAATCCATACCAGACCCTGTGTTCATATGGGAATCAAGCAATTTCCTTTCCTGTAACCCATGATTGCAGAAAAGAAAATCACACCATCTATGGCCAGCATTCATAAAAGGATTGAAAGCAACATTAACCACTTAAGGACTGCCCTATAGCAGATATACTGCTACAGGTGCGGTACCTGTGTGCATAATCACGTGTATATATATATATATATATATATGTCATTCTGCATTTCTGGGTAGGGGGCGCATGCTAGCCGTGCGCATGCCCTACCCGCGCTGACATTCGCGGCCACGGATGTCAGTCACCGGGTCAGCGACCGGTGATTACCGTGCATCTTGCATCTCAGACGGGGAGGAAGATTGTCTTGTTTACTAAAAATCATCCTCCCTGTCAACTCAGGCACACTGCTTGGGATGGCTGTGCACAGTACAGCCATCCTGATCAGTGTTCTTACAGTGAAGAACATCCCCCTGCCCCCTAGTAAAACACACACAGCACACAATTAACCCTTTGATCGCCCCTCGCATTAACCCCTTCCTGCCCAGTGCTATTAGTACAGTGTCAGTGCTTAGCAAAGACATGTAGCAGAATAAATTTTGGCCTAAATTTATGATGAAATTAGATTTTTTAAATTTTTTTACTGGACATGTTTAATAGCAAAAAGTCCAAAATATTGTTTTTTTTTTCTCAAAACTGTCAATCTGTTTTTGCTTATAGCGCAAAAAATAAAAACCGCACAGGCGATCAAATACCACCAAAAGAAAGCTCAATTCAAGGGAAAAAAGGACGTAAATTTAATTTGAGTGCAACGATGCATGACCGCACAATTGTCAATTAAAGTAACGCAGTGCTGTAATGCAAAAAATGGCCTGGTCATTAAGGGGGGTAAATCCTCAGGAGGGCAAGTGGTTAAAAAAATGAAGGGTCCTAAGTTATAAAGCATATACATGATGTTGATCTGGACACAAATAAAGCTAAAATTATTAATTCACCACAAAAATTGTTGGATTTTTGACATATTAATCTTTCTATTAATACTAAGGTTTATTCAGAATATCTGAAGTGTTCTAAGTTATAAAAGCAATATCTGACTTCAACATTTTGATGTCTATGTACAGTACTGTGCAAACGTTTTAGGCAGGTGCGAATAAATAATGTAAAGTACAAATGCTTTCAAAGATATATATTTTACTTGTTTATTTTTATCAATTTCAAAAATGCAAAGTGTGCGCACAGAAGAAAAGTCCAAATCAAATCAATATTTGAATATCAGCAATTGTCAGCAATATGTTTACATTTCTAATTCCTTTTCAAATTCAATTAAATTTGATACTGTTGTAATTTGGAAATTCGGATACACGAAATCTATGAATAGTGTAAATTTCTTTTACACCCATGTCTAATCATTAGTTTTGTAATGCTACTTTACATATTTTCATCCTTGAAGTATTTTCTTCCTAGAGGATGTTCCATGCCAGGTCTCTACGGTAGTGAACCCTTGTAAAAAGCCAAATTGGGGATCCTCAGGGCATGTAGTCTAAGCCCCAGCCTGCTTGTTCACCAGGGCCCCTGATGATGGGGATGGACTTGCAGCAAAATGGAACCAGTTTGTGGCTCCTGGGTACACCCAGCTGACGATGCAGAGACCACTCGTGTATGCAGAGTACAGGAGACAGAAGGAAATCCAGGAAACAAGTCAAGGTCAGGGCGGCGCAGCAGGCAAGCATAAATGGTAGACAAAACCAAGGTTGGTACAAGAATAGTCAGGCACAGAATACAAGTAATACAAGGCAAACCGAGAGCACAGAGACTCTTGCGAGTTGACCAAACAATGCAGGCTGCAGGCCAGGAAGGGATAGCAGGGAAAGGGATATAAACCCACAGTAGAGCAGGCGACTCCCATAGGTGAACACAGAAGCCAGTGGCACATGTGAATGGAATCACAGCTCTAGCAGGAATACTTCAGTAAGGAGGTAATAACTTTGCAAGGGAACGTGCAGGCTAGACCGTGACACTCCAGTCTTGATGGTAGGTTTATTTTCAACCTGTCATTTTTTCTAAAAAAAAAAAAAAAAAACATTCCTGCAAAGAAGAATTTGTTCACTCACAGATACTGAATTAGTCACTGTCAAGATTTCTGTCAAGTATTGGCATCATCTTTTGGAGGCAATCAGTCATCAGGCCTCCATACTCAGTATCAGTTTTGAAAAGCTAAAAACTCTAAAGCTGAAATAGCTCAAATTACTGACCTATCTGAAACCAGGAACTTCCATTTATTTTCCCAGGCAGATTTGGCCCTCTGCACTCATTGACCATGTTGCTCTTAGCATCCTCCTATTTATAGGAATCTACTATCCATAGCAACTGTAGTATATATAATAGTGATAATTTAAACGTCTATTAAAAAGGATGGTTTGAGAAAAAAAATAAAAACTTTCCCAAGACCTATTTTATCTATGATAATGTGGAACTAAACATAAAGGAACATCTAAAAATGTAATTACCCTGAAAATGTATCTTTTGTGTTGTATTCTTGCTAAAAAATGTCAGAACACTTCCTGGTATGTTAGAGTACCTTGTCATTTTTGTCCTTTTGGCTTCATCAGGGGCGTATTTACCACAAGGCAAACAAGGCATTTGCCTAAGGTAGCACTTTCCAGGGGGGGGCAGCACTGCCCCCCAGAAGAAGGGACACATACGGCATGGAGACCAGGTAGGATCCGAGAGATTCTATGGGCTGCGTGTATGCAGAGCCTGATTCTCATTCCCAGGGATGTCTGGAGCTGTGAAGATGAATCTCTTTCTCTCCCTCTCGGTGGGGGGGGAGGGGAATGTGTGTTAGTGGAAGGCTCCCTCAGGTGGAGGGGGCAGGGGTGTTGCCTTGGGCGATTTTTGTGTTGCCTAGGGCCGCACAAAACCTAAATACACCACTGGACTTTATAGCTATAAATTTGCAGAATGAGATCCAAGGCTTCCTCAAACTGATTGTATTATGAGGTTTGGAGTGAGATTTAGCAAAGTCGATACTGTGCTGCTCATTGTTCTCCTTGCCTCAGTTTGAGAAAAGAAAGCCCTGCTCCTATTAATGTAGCCATTCTCATACAAAGACCCAATGCAGAACAAGGCATGGTATGTCAGCAGTGGAGGAAACCTCAGGTGCAAGGAGACCATGGACATTACTGGTAAGTAGTCCTTTGGGCCCTGCCTGACTTTTTTTAGCACAGCGTCTAGAGTTCATTTTCTCTTTAACTTTGGCAATGGTTGCATAAGGAAAGTTTTTACATTTTACAGGGGAATTGGCATCATACAAAACCTTTGTGACTTTGACTTAAGTCTTGCCATTGGAGTTTCAGAGTATCAACATGTGACTTTACGTTCCAGCAAAAACTCGACTCTGAAATAGTTGTTTGGAAGATGGCATTAATAAGATAATAGTGGTGTGTAAAAAAATAACTATCTATGTGTACAAGGTTGTGAGTTTTTTATTGATCACCATTTCAATATAAATAGATGTATTTATTTTGCCAAACCAATTTGCTGCTGTAATTGTATCAGAAAATAAATGACTCTGTTTGTACCTTGGAGAGGTTAATTGCACTGTACTGTCTATCATTAATTTAACAAAACAGATGTGTGCTAAAGGATCTGCTGTCTTTAATGTAAACAAAAGCCGTAACAGCATTCCCAAGGGGCTTGAAAGAAATTGCACATTTTGAAGGAAGAATCATGTATATGTTTGGTCCTCAGGCTGGTTCTGGACCACCTCTTGGGAAATCATGGGTCTCAGATTGACCTCTGTTTTTCGTATACTTCTAGCAGGTGATAAAAGCATTTGTCAGCTCTTATTCGCAAGATTCAGAAGATGGAATTGGTTTCTGGGTGTTTGGTGGGCCTTGTGTGTCAGGATCTCTAGAGCTTTCAGCAACCTGATAATTGTCAATCACAGTAAGAAATTCTGTTACAAAAACAGACATTTAAAAGAAACTTCAATTAAGAGACAAATCAAACTACATGATAATACATAATTTTGAGGTTTGTATTTTGTGTATGAGTATTTTATATTAAAATATGACCTGATAATTGTTTATGATGAAGGCTGAAAAAGAAGTTCAATACAGATGTATGCTGTTTGGGTGGGTATTATGTAGATGTGAGCATTTCCACTGCTGGTTGGAATTCTATTGTTTGTACCAGTTTGATGTACTTGACAAAGAGCACGTTTCTCTTTCTGTTGCAGGCCCATTAGGAACAATACTGTTTCCACAGGACAGCATATATAATGGATGAAACCTTCATCCCTAAGTCCACATCTTACCTGGTAGCCCAATTTTATAAATTAGTCTCAGCAGGCCTTTTTTTATATATGAGTTGACTGATACTAAAGGCTTTCTCTTTCATTGTGTTTGCTGTGAGAGCCTGCTGCTGTGTGAAAAGGCTGACTGCTGACAGAAGTCTAAAAAGATATCAGAGCTTCCTGTTTGTTTTAGGAAACCCATTAGGGGACATTCTGTTAAGCCGGCCATACATGATTCATTTTTTTTCATTAAATTTTTTAATGAAAAAACGAACCAATTTCCCTATCTATACATTCGAGGTGGATGTGTGAATTCTTCCTACTGTGGTATTGTATCCTGACAGCAGGAAGCTGTCCCCACCACCAGAATACAATGATGAGTGTTACCTGCTATAGCCGGGAAAAACCTTATAGGCTCGTCGTTGTACACAAGTTGATTGATGGATCAACTTGTGTACGACCAACCTGCCCATACATGAATTGAAATTCGGCTTGGAATGTTCTTGGATTTAGTTAGTGGCTTGGACAAACAGATGTTCTGTTTTATGCTTTGGGCTTGCTGCACAAAGCCTCCTGCACTGATATTATGTTTGCTTTTGCTGAATAAAAGTGAAGGGCAGACCTGCTTGGACTCTTCCTCGGTGTCCCTGTCTTATACATTGTTTACCGCCAATAGCAGTTGATCCTGCCCCCCTACTATTTATACCATAGTAGAGAGAAAGATACTGTGTGGGTGCATATATATTATATTATATTATGTCAGTGACTGAGAAAGTATTGAATCCAGAGACAGCTAGGCAACTAATGTTCTTAGAAGATCAGTAATAGCGGCCTCCATATTTCTTTCAGTACAGGTTTATTAAAAAATGTGT